TTGGGTTAAGGCTGTCATGACCCAATCATTTTACCTCTGAATTTTCTTGCCTTGTCTCACATGTGAGCTTTAGAGGGATACCTAATATCTAAACTATACCAGTTACTTTGACTAGAGTTGAATTTCTACTGAATTTCTACAGACAGAGGGATACTCTTTGTCTCACATTCACATCAGTACCTTCCCAGGACCTGTCATTGTAATCTGTCATGGTAAAAAGCACAGAAGTGAATATGATCCTGCCATCAAAATATGACAAGCTCATTATAACAAGCCACTCATAAATCTTGGAAGCAAAGGCACTACTCTACATTCTTTAAATAATAATTTTATGCTATTTGCATGCATTGTTTTTATTTGGAAGAAAGGCAGGTATTTCTTCCACACTTAATGCTGAAATGAATTATATAGCAATACCACCTCCCACCTCTTACTAATTTCAGGCCTTTTTTTAAACAATTGATTGTAAAATACTGTGCAAACATGAAATGGAAAATAAAACTCTAATGACCATAAATTCTTCCACATAACACAACAATTGGATCATGCTTAGATGGAAAGGAAGAAATAAGCATTGTTAAAAGGCTGGAAGTAAATTGCTAGGCTGAGGGTGAGAAGAGCTCTATAACCAGGTTTCTCTGGGCTACGACACTAACCACCTGTTTCGTGGACCCCACCGTGGCCTCTGGAAACATGGATCCACGTGGGGAGTGAGCTGCCCCTTAAACAGAAACTTGCAGCCCATGGCAAAAAAACAATCTCTTATTTTAAGTATTTCACTAGAAGTACAAATAGACTAAAGCCTTACAATATCTTAAATTCAAACTCAAGTCACGTTGGTTTCTGATTGGTATAAATGATTTGAGCCCCATGCTTACACAAGGCACAGAAAAAAAAATAAGCAATCTGGAACACTTTTTTGTCCCAACGTTTGCCTGAGATACTCTGAGGCATCATCCAGGGTCCTTCTTGGAGTTGTGCAGACCCTTTTTGCACCCTTCCTGGTATCTGGGCACAATCGATGCCCATAACACAGCAAGACCCAGCAGAATACACTCAATGTACTAAGCTGCATGATTAACTGAGAATATACCCAGACTCACATTCCACCTGCTCATAACTGACTGCTCATGTATGATTCTCAGTCTGGGAAAGTCTTAAAGGTGAAGGCCCAACAGGATAATGTTAAGACATTCTAATTTTAGAACAAGTCCCAAGCTTAAGCTCTAATGTATAACTCAATTTATACATTTTTTTTGTCACAGTAGAGACAAAAAATTCTAGAATGGCTCAAACTGGAAGAAATAACAACCAAATTCAGCTTAATTTCTATTAATAATATAAATGAAAAAATGTACTCGTTCATTCAAAAATAAAATTTTCTAAACATTCTTACAATAGGAAATGGAAATACCACTGTGATCTGCACAAACAAGTTCCTGCCCTCAAGAGTTTTTGGAGCAGTGGAGGGAACAGGACAAGGCAGAGTGACAAGAAACATGATCGGTGAAGAAAACAGAGCTAGCAGAGCTGCAAGCCCAGGAGAGAGTTTGTACAACATGTGATGCCTCAGCTGAGACTCCAACACTGGATATGTGTAAGGAGAGAGGCAAGTGGACAGATGTTCTATATGCAGAAATATCATGGGCAGGGGGCTGGTGGCAAGAAAAATCACGTGCGCCTGGAAGAGCAGAAGGAAGTTTGTAATAGAAAATTGGTAGAGTTGGTCCCAGAGAAATAAGCAGAGGTCAGGTCAAAAGAGCTGTGGGGAAGGAATTGGAGAAGACCAAGAAAAGGATCTAGAGAAAATGATGGATTAGTTAATTGCACTAGGGATGAAGAAAAGTGAGCATATTTAAAAGGTACTTAGAAGTTAAGAGATTAGACTTGATTGGGCACACTAGTATAATCACTAGTGTTCAGACTTCTTGGGTTCAAGTCCTTACTCTGCCACTTATAAGAAAAGTGACTTAATTTCCTTTTCTGAACCTGTTTCCCTCCTGTAGGAACAAAAATACCTGCTCATGGGATTATTACGAAAGAAAATAAGTTAATTCACAAATCACTTGGGACAGCAGTCCTTGCACCTGATAAATATTACACTAAAAAATAGCCATTATTTCTGAATAACTCAAAACTAGAAACAACACAATTGTTTAATGAGATGTGGGAGAAGGGAGAGGAAATGGTCAAGGATCTCACAAAGGACATTGGTTTGGATAAATGGATGGAGGATATTAACGATGGCTGTTATCTATTTCTTGCCTCTCAGCTCCAAATCTACCCTTCAATGCATGCTTTAAGATCATGGACATGAGCCAGTGAGCAGCTGGAGCAGTTTTATACTTCATTTATTAGTAAAAGGCACTGGAGGGACACTGCAACAGAAGACTTCTCATGGTTAAAATGTGTTTTTATTTGCTTCTTTGTGCTCCTATACCTGGCTGCCAGCAGTGCACATGGGGGACATGAAAGCTGCTCACCCCCATCAAATTTCAAAGAAAGATTCCTAGAATTCTCAGATATCCCAGAATCTTACTGCCCAGTCTTTCACCTATAAGTTGTTTCCTGCTGTGGACAAACTCTGGCCTGGGACAACCCACCATATTTTTGCCATCCATACCTTTTCCAATATTGATTGAATTCTGGCCAGTTTGTTCTTTCCTTGTATACTTATCCCACCCCCATTCCTAGTGTATTCTTTCCCCCTTTAGAATTAATATCCTTTTATAATTTGAAATTACATGAATCATTCCTTGATCAAACTACTGTGTTTTTTCTGCATCCTGATTAGACCCTGACTTATGCAGTACTAGTCATTGAAGTAAGAAACAGAGGAGAAAGAAAAGGTATTGAAAAGATAAATTGCATTTTGGATATAATGAACTTGACATGCTTGTGGGACATCTAAAAAGCACTGTCTGATAAGAAACTGAGTACTGGGGGGACAAAAGCTCAGAAATGTTCAAAATTAGATGCAAGCCTTAAGTTTTCTAAAATCTTAGCAAATAAAGCATGTATTTAAATACCAAAGTAAGGAAGATGGATTTTTAAAAATGTTTTGCATGCTCATACATCAATTCAAGAAGCCTCAAATCAACTGTGTGTGTGTGTGTGTGTGTGTGTGTGTGTGTGTACGTGCACAATTCACCCATGATTTATGGTGCTTTCATATTGTGTATGTTGGTAAGGTTGTTCTATGTCTGCTAACATTTTCAAAGCAAAATGAAGATATGATTAAAAACAGCCAAGCCCTGTATTAATGAGATCATTTTAAATGTAGTTAAATCTTGGAAGCCTAACCTGGTAAGGCAGGAAAGCAATTAGTTATATGGGCTACTTTGGATGTTGATTAGAATCAGAAAAATTCTAACAGATGTGCCAATACCCTAAGTAGCAAAAACCTGGTGGAGTGCTTAAGTTCCATGTTATTTAAAAAGTTCAACTAGCTACAATTTTGAAAGTGACGTAGGCTGACGCCTTCTGTTTTTTTTTTTTTTCCTGGGTGTGAACATGGTCAACAAAACTTGCCCCTTGCAACATCCATTTCTCAAAAGTTTGGATCTACTGACCACAAAAAAAAAGAGAAGGAAGTTCCATCAGCAGTTTGCAAAAGAACAATTTGGAAGAGAAGTACATTAAATCCTCAGGGAAATTAAACCCAAATAATCCAATAACAGCATTACAAAATTAACACTAGACTATGAATTGAATTAATTGCCTCCTACTGTGGGGATTTGGGGCAACCACAGATCAAAACAAATGAAGCCCATGAAGTCAAATGTCCTAAGAAGACATAGTCGAGTGTGAGGCTCAGGCATCACAAGAGTTTACCCGCCATGTTTTCCAACTTTCTGGCTTATTCTGGAGATCTTCAATATAGAAAAGGGGCTTCACTTCTGCCACCTCACACCTCAAATTGTGTACACAGGGGCGGTGAGAGAGGTTAGAGGTGGTACACTTGACACTACAGAAAGATTGTATGTTTTGGTTCACCTCCAGAAGGGACCTCTAGAAGTACCTGAGTGTTGGAAATCCATGAAAGGCCATTTCCCTTGTGAGAGTTGAAGGGATCAAGGGGACCTAGTAATAGCTTCTATGAAACCAAAACAGTCTAGCGATAAGGCAGGGCTTTAAAAATACCAGTCAGCTGCTCCAAGAGAGACTCACGGTGGTATTTCAGTAAATACACGTTTATTTCTGTAAATTCTCGTTTAATGCCATGATGTCATCATGGCTGTGGTAAAAGGAGATTACCTAAATAATATAGGCCCTGGGAGCAACAAAATTAGCATGTGTGTGACTTACCCAGCCTGTGCTAGAATTCTTTAGGACTTTGAACAGGAAGGTAGGATGCGGATCTTGATAGAAATAAAATCCTGGTGATTTATGCAGTTTTACCAAATAAGCCCCACAGGGCCAATCCAAAGGGCCTTGACTACCTGCATCTTCTTCTGAGATGACCAGTTTGTCAAAATGCCTATTGAATATTTGTTCATCCTTCACAATACAGCTGACATTTACTCTTGAAGCTTTTTAATAACCAAACAGCATTTTACAAAAAGAATTAAGGCATTTTATTGGGGTATTGTGTGACTTTTAATTCTTTTCACATTCTCAATTCTGTTTGACATCTGAAAATACTATGCCTAACTCTTTTGTGTGAATTTTTTAAAAATGTACCTAACATGTATTGAATTCTTCTTGTTTCTATTCCTCAAAAAATGACGTAAACACCAGAAACAAAATACTTTTTATTTAAGCTTACAGAAATGAAGCATCCTGTTTATTTGGAATCTTAATTACTATTGCCCTGATCTTACCTAATTAGTAAAGCTTTCATAATGAGGAAAATTATTTTCAAAGTTAATGAATTTGCAAGCACAAACATTGCTGTCTCACCAGAATGAATTACACATTCCTTACATGCATATTTTAGTTACACAAGCTAATTAATATTAGAGCTTAAAACATGTGGGATTGGCTTCACTCTTACAGGAAACTTTCCTTTGTTTTTAGACAGTATAAAAACACCACAATTTCCCTTCTTGTAGACACTGGACTGAACATATTAACTTAATTTTAGATTTGGACAAAATGGAAATCATTTCCTCAAAACGATTCATTTTATTGACTTTAGCCACTTCAAGCTTGTTAACATCAAACATCTTTTGTGAAGATGAATTATTGATGCCCAATCTTCACAGCAAAGAAAATTACAACAAACATTTTGAGGTAAGTTTTTAAGTCTATAATATGACCAGCAGGATATATATATATAATATTTGTCTTGAGTCTTATAGCTTTGTAAATAACTAGTTTGGGCTGTCTTTTTGGTCAAACTTCAGCCTTCCTAAGATAAGTATACTGATGTAACTTGTATTATTCAGCAAACAGCTTAGTGTCTTTCTCTCTCTCTCTCTCTCTCTCTCTCTCTCTCTGTACTGGGGACTGAACCCAGGACCTTGTACACACCAGGCAGGTGCTCTGCCACTGGACTATACCCACAACCTCCACAGCCTGGCTCTGTAATGACAAGTACTTAGGCTCTGATACTTTGCAGGCTTAAAGTACATTAGTACATTTTCAATTGACTCAGAGTTTACATTTGTAATAAATAGTTGTAGAAATAAAGATCTGGATACTTTTCAGCTGGCCATTGTCTTAAACTGCAAATGAACATACAACATTTATAATCTCTTATAAGCTGGTAAAGTTTGTAGTAAATCTGAGTAAAATGTTTACCTCTAGATGGAAGAAATTCAAGTTATTTTCTTCTTTATTTATATTTTCCAAATTTGCTGAAATTACTCAGGTTACAATTAGAAAACAATCATTTAAAAATTTTCAAATGGACAAACTTTCATGGTAAAATTAAATCTAATTGAACAGTCACTGTATTTTAAGTGGTTCCTATAAATTTGTATATTTGTAGTGCTATGAATCACTAACCAATTGGTTTATTACTAAAAATGTAATTAATATTCTAATTAAAATATTGTTGGTTTCTCAAGACATGTTTGTAGGGTGAAATACTGAGTGCAAAGTGGGGAAAAAAGTCAATGGGGTCTCCTACATCATAGCCCAAAACTTGGGTAGTGTCTCAGTTTCCATGCACCATGTTTCCATGTACCACCTGGCCTTTAAAAGGGAGCAAAACACCAGACAGTGAAAGGGATAAGAGGTTTCTCTAAAGTCAAAACACAAAACATTTCATAAACATGAATCAAAACACTGAAAGAAAATAATGGCTGTAAAATAAACTTTTGCTGCATTTTAATACTTCCTTATGTTCCTGCCACTCAAAATATTGTTTTATTCACTATATATATATTTTTAATATTTTATAGTTGTTTCACAATAGTCTAGGGAAACAGGAATTTGATAACTTCAAAAAGCTTAATACAGATTATTTATTTTTAAAATTCTGCACATAAAAACACAAATTTTGTTTATAGATTTAACAATTCATCAGATTAAAGTCTGGATTTAAATTAATTTTGAATTTAAATCTATGAATTATCACAATAATAAATTATTTTAATCATTTCTAATTATAGCCTAGGGGAGCCCCAAAAAAGGAAAAGGAAAAAAGTCCCAATTTTCAAGAGTTAAAAGATTGGGGACCAAAAAATGTCATGAAGATGAACACACCCTCAGTCAACAAAAAGCCACACTCGGCAGCCAACCTGCCTCTGAGATTCGGGAGAACCGTGAAAGAAGAAAGGAGCCCTGGAGGGACAGCCAACCTGCCTCTGAGATTTGGAAGAAATATGAAAACCAGCATATCCAGACACAACCCCAACCTTCCCCAAAGGTTTGGAAGAATGACAACAGCCCAAAGTGTCACCAAGACACTGAGTGATTTGTTCCAACAATCCACGCATTCACTCTGTGCCAGTGAGTTCCTGTACTCCAACACCTGCCAGAGCCAAGAAAACCAGAATCCTGATCAAAAACAACCAAGGTAAATACCCGAGAACCAGCAAAAGTGCATGGACAGTTATATAGAACTGGCTGGTTCAGAAAGGACCCGTGAGTTTTCAAAATAAGTTTACAAGAAAGTAAATTTCTGAGAGGGGGAAAAAGGTGAAGGCACAGGAAAATAAATGCCTATAAACAATTATAGAAGACCTGGTATAATAAGCATGGCTACAAGTATAAAGTAAGGAGATGGCTTCCCTAATCAATCTCACTACACTATAAGTCACACACTAAGTCCATGCAAGATTGGGGACAGAAGCCTATGACATTTTGTCTGACACTTGCCCTTTCTAACAAAATGTCCCACACAGGAGAGTTGGGCCCAGATTTAAAGGACACCATCTCAAATAACCCAAATAACTTAGAAATTTTGATTAAAATAACTTTAAATCTTTCTTTTTTTCTGGATCTCATTTTATAAATAAATCCTGTTACTAATAGTATTTATTGTCCACTATGTATAAATCAGATAATAAGTTACTACAAATGATTTTTAAAGTTAATTTTTTCTAGTAGAAATGTTTTTAAAAAATCATTATTTTTATAAAAAGTAGATTACAGTGCTTTTATTAAGGCCTGAAGGAAGGAAGGTGGCAAGCTATGTCATCAGAGAGACCTTCTCAGAACACTTCTGATGTATTGTTTCCATGGTACTTATCCCTATCTGACTTATCATGTGTTTAGGGTCCATAACCTTTAACAGAATTTCAGTTCCATAAATCCCATAATTTTTGTCTACTGCCATATCCCCAGTGCCTACCTATGTCTGCCACACGGGAAGGCCCTAGTATTCAACAGCATAAATGAAATGATAAAGAGGCACTTAGAGGATCCTACAGAGGATGTTTGGGGTGGGGGCAGGGGTGGAGGGGGGTATCCAGGGACATTTCTTGAGTTGTGTTTGAAAAAGGAGGTCTACCGTGAACATTCAGAGACTGGCAGGAGAGGGGTCATTTTCAGGCAAAAGGATGAGTGTGAGCAAAGGTTCTAGCTAAATCAATGTGAGCTGAGAAGAGCTGAGGTTCAGTGTGGTAAGAGCAAGGAGTATGTGATGAGGAGCAGAGTGCAGAGTGTCATGCAGAGCAAAGACAAGGACTTGGGCCATTATTCATCAGGAAATGGGGAACCACCACCATGTCGGCTGAGGTCCTGGGATATTATACAGGGGTGGGAGGGACCACTAACCAGATGTGTGCAAATAGGGTGGTAGGAAAGGAGAAAATGGAGACAATGGTAAGTTCTTGAACCCGAGTGCTCATCACAAACTCAGCCTGCATCTGTGTCTCACTCGTTTCAAGCACAACACAATTCAACTGAAGCATAATTAGGCAATTAGGATTATGGGTCTATTTTTATTAGCTTTTATGTTCTAGTACTCTGATGGTTAAGAACACTTTATACTGCTTACATTTTAGGAGATTGGTATTCAAGAATATAGACGATGTGGAAGTGAAACAAGAAAAATAAGAAATCTGGAGCCTGTCCCTAAAGATGGTATGAAGCTACGGCCTGTAATATCTGCAAACAGCTCTATGGTGAAGACAATAAGAGCAGTGGAACCACTTTGATGGTTTATGTATTGTTGATGGTAGTTTTTCCTTATCCAGTACAAGTTATTTTAAAAAAAAAAAAAAAAACTTTAAAGGATATTCGTAATGTAAAGTTAAAATAATTTTGTCTGAATAAAAACAGCATTGTAAATACTTAAGAATTCTGCTTTTCCCTCCCTTTCTTTCCCCATTACCAAACTGAAGCCACATCACTACCCTATATGAAAATCATGGGCACAGTTATACTTCATATTTGTCAGGCTACTCTTTTCTTAATGATAATTAAATAATTTGACATAATAACATGGTTTACAAGTAAATGAACAAGGATAACAAACCAATTATAAACATATTTTTAAATACCCACTTTTCCCCATATCACTGTTAGATTTTCACTGTAAGTGAATCTATATGATAAACCGAATTTAAAATCTGAAATCTTTCTGTGTAATATTACAAAATGAAGGAACTCTTAGTTGCCTTTTTCCTTGCATCTTCCTAAAATCTATCAGTTACCTCTTTAGTGTTTCCTCTATATCCAAAGTTTACCTCTGCTATTTATCTTTTCATTTAACATTTTTTTCACAGAAAAATAAATCTGGCCATTCAACTAAGTTTATCCATCCAATTTACCACACACGAATGCATTGTGATCAACTTCAGCCCTAAGAATATGAAGTCCTCAATCGGACATAGCTGGTTTATTGAACAGTTCAACTCCATTGGGGGCACACAGGAAATGGTTTTGTTTTTCTCCCACTGTGTCCCCAGCTGAGCCATGTGAATCCCCCACTCCTGCTGGGTAGAGATCCCTTAATGATACCCTGGACAGATTCCATAACTTCCTCAGCCACTTCTTGATATTAAAAAACTCTGTCAAGTCCATTTGAAGACGCCAACATCATATCCAAGGCAGTCTCCCCCGCCATCATTGGCTGGGCCGGGACCCCAAAGGACCTCGATTTGTGGGAAAGGGACAAGCTCTGTTCTTTCTCTCGGTCTCCCTTCTCTCCTCAGAGGTAGGGTGGTGGGAGAAGAAATGGTGGGCTTCTGAAAAACAATCTCCCCTCCTTTCTTCTTCAGGGTGTTCAGGTGGTCAAGGAGGAAGGGATGCAGAGTTGAGAGTAGCTGTCTCATCCTTTATATTGAAAGTTGCTATTTCTACAAGTGAATTCTTCAGGAAAACTTATAGGGGACTTCGCACTGCCCAGGTCACTGAACTGATGGGCCTAGGTGCTATTTGATTGCTTTCCACTACCCTTATTTCATCTGCACTCCTCATAGCCTTTTATTACCAGAATGAGGCTCAAAGCTGCTGTTTTGCCAGTAGCCACTTAATGCAAAGAAAAAGCAGACAACTCAGCTATGCCAAGGGCAGAACTGCCTTACAGCTGCCGTACTACTACTCTACTACTGCCCCATTGTCTTCAACCCTCTTTGCCCTGTTTAAGAGGGGCAGACTAGTAAGTCTACTGCCTAAGCAAACAGAAATAGTATGTTCAAGTGAGAGACATGACCCCACTCTCTGTGAGTGCAGAGAGCTGTTATAGCAGCAGAAACTCCATTTTTTTTTTTTTTTTGCTACTATAACAAGATACGTGAAGCTGGATACTGTATAAAAAAAGGTTTATTTAACTCAGAACTTTGGAGATTCAAGAGCATGGCCCTGCCATCTGTTCAGATCTAGTGAGGGCCTCATAACAGATGGCATTGCAGTTGTGGGAGTATATATAAGAATGTCAAGCAGTGTATGCAGAAGAATTCAGGAGGGTGCCAGGCTCCCTTTTAACAACTCATTCTTACAGGAACTTATCTAGTCCCATGAGACTTCATTAGTCCTTTCCAAAGGCCACGTCCTTGTGTCCTAATTATCTCCTACTAGGACCCACTCTTAAAATCCCACCATCTCGACACTGTCACATTGGAACCAAGCTTCTGGCACATGAACCTTTGGGGATGCACCTAAACAATATTCAAACCATAGCACTTGGCACCCAGGAAAAGAGGCATATAGCAGCCCACCCCTGCTCCAGGTCAAACTCTCAAAACTAGACATCTAGGAACAGCACAGGCCAAGGCAGGTCTGCTGTGGTTCTGCCATCTGTTTGCAAACCACAAAGGAGTGTCTGGCTCCTGCTAACCATGGTTTTCTTTATACCCTCAGATAATCAGAGCTCTATACCTCCAGATCTAGTCCCTAGTCACCCATTCTGAGCAATAGAGAAAAATACCAGGCAATATCCTATCATGCAAATAAACAAAAGGCCAAGTGGTCTCTCTATAAGACAGGGAAATTTCTTGTCATAGAACATGAGTTCTTTACTTAAACCCCTGAATTTATGAAAACTGTTAAATAAGGGGAAGTTGATGTCTAGTTGTTCATCTGTTTGTCTTACTCTTTCTGGCCCAGACCAGTCCCTTTACCAGTTTCCATAAGAAACCCATTCCCATAAGTGTATGGGGAGTTCATGATTCTGAAAACCCTCAGCCAAATCATAAAGAGAATCACACATAGCATTTCACTAGAAAAAGTTTCCACTAGAAACTTGTCCTAAGTTTCTTGGTAACGGGACCACTAGCAGTGACTCTCCTTCTTACCTTTGTTGCTCACCTTATGATAGCCTCATGGGCCTGTGACCCATGCAGTCACACAGGGTCCTATGCTTGAAGCTATGGTTTGGAAATGGCTTGAGTGTGTTCCCCAAAGAGTCATGTGTTAGAGGCTTGATCCTCAGTGTGGCAGTGTAGAGATGTGAGACTTTTAAGAAGTAAAGCCTATAAACTATGGAACCAACCTAGACACCTTTAACAAATGAATGGATAAAGACAATGTGGTACATATACACAATGGAATACTACTGTCTTAAAGAAGAATGAAATTATGGCATTTGCAGATAAATGGATGGAACTAGAGGATATCATGCTAAGTGAAATAAGCCAATCAAAAATTTTAAAAAAGTCAAATACTTTCTCTGATAAGCAGATGCTGATCCAGAGTAGGGCAGGGGTAGAGGGAAGAATGAAGGAATTTTGGTTTGTGTAGAGGGGAGTGAGGGGAGGGATGGGGTTATGGGGATGGGAAGGATAGTAGAAAGAGATAGACACTATTATGTTATACTCATGTATGATTATACTATTGGAGTGACTCTGAACCATGTACAGCCAGAGGAATGAGTTGTGCTCCATTTGTGTACAATATGTCAAAATGCATTCTATTGTAAAATAAATAAATAAATGAAAGAAGTGGAGCCTAGTGGGAGTGTCTGGAGCCAAGGTCACTAGGGGTGCCATCCTCCAAAGGGATTAAGGCAGCTCTCCTGGGTCCCCTAAGTTAGTTTTCATGAGAACAGATTGTTATAAAGGCCTCAGCCAGATCTCCTGTTCACTCTTTGGCTTCCTATGATGTGATCTCTCACTCCTACACAAGCTCCCACCACTGTCATGTCGTCCACCATGAGGTCCTCATCAGAACCAAGCTGATACCCATGCCATGTTCTTAACCCTCAGAACTGTGACCTACATAAGCCTCTTTTCTTCATAAAGTATCCAGCCCCAGATATTTGTTACAGTGACAGAAAATGGAAAATCAGTGCTGAGGAATGAGATCATTACTATAACTATAGATGAAATTGGGGAAGCAGTTTGGAATCAGGTGATAGGCAGACAGAGGTTGGGAGAGTTTGGAGGAGCAGGGTAGAAAAAGGTTAGAATTCTGCCAGTGGAGAGTTATGGATGATTCTGGTAAGGGCTCATAAGATGAGGAAACTCGGAAACAAGTCTCAGATGACAATGAGGAATCTGTTGGAAATCAGACTAAAGGCCACCTTTCTTACACTGTGATAAAGAACTTGGATACATTTCACGCATGCCCAAAGGCTGTTTAAGTGAAGCCAAAATTTTAAGAGATGAACTAGTTTATTTGGTAGAAAGTTCAAAACAAGAAAACATTCATCTGTGGCATGAGTGCCATCAGTCACCTTTGGTCAAATTTATCATGAGACTTGGGAACAAAAAGAAGCAGAGGGAAAAGATTTGGAAAACCTATGGCCTGACCAGGATAGAATGAAGAAAAAGCACATGCTAAAGACATTAGCTCAGATAAAGGGAGTCTGGTACTTTTTAATCACAACAATTGTACAAAGGCCTCAAGGGCATCTCAGAAATCTTTGAAAGCCACCCCTCCCATCACAGGCCCAGTAGGCTCCTCTGTACTGGGTCCCAGTCTCTATTTAACATTTTTGGCCTTCATTTCTTTCAACCACATGGATCACATTTATGCATCATAGGAAAGGATAAGGAACACAGTAATCCCTGACACCTGGGCAGAGTGAGGGGAATTCATAGCAAAGTAACAACTCTCTACAAAGAAATCTCTTCACAAACCCAATTCCTATCCTTTCATCAGCTCCAAATGGGTGAGGCAATTGATGAATAACAGAACCAGTTTCCCACCAATTGAGGAATTATAGACTTCAAAAAGTCTACAATTGGTGATTTTTTTAAAAAACTTAATGTCTATTAGATTTTGGTGTTTTGGGTTAAACTTCAAAAAATTACATTATTTACAACAAAGATGGATTTGAGAGGAATGCTCATAGCTTCTAAAATGAATTTTTTCTGAAGCATTACATTTTTCTGGGGAGAAATTTCATAGGTCTCAGATTCTCAAAGAAGTCTATGATCCCATAAAGTTTAAGAATTATGGCAAAGGAAGATTATTTCTAGAATGATTTTAAGTTAATATTTAATTCAATTTTAGATGAATATTGCCATCTGCCTGGCCATTTAAGTGCTGAAAAGATAATGCCAGAACAATCACAATCCCTCTAGTGATTCAAAATATTAGCTTCTTCATAGTACATAAAGTGGAAGTGGTAATGCTGCTCTTCTCCCAGACATGCTTTCCCAGGCACAGATCCCCAAATATTCCGCTCTATACTCCTTCTCTTCTCTGCTAATGCTTCCTTCCACCAAGGAAATCCCACTTGGATTGGTCCTACCCTAAAACTCAGTGAGTCCATGAAAGGGAGCAGAGGGAAGGGGTGTCGGGGGAGAGCTAGGGATCAAACAGGCCTGAAACAGCAACAACTTTCATAGAAGGTGACTTTCATGTGATTTCAGTTCCACATTTCATATATC